CCTTCTCCCACGTGAGGGGTCACTCCGGTGTATATGGAAATGAAGCAGCCGATAGGCTCGCCGTAGATGCAGCAAACAGAGCCGCGGAACGGAGATGGGAAGATGAGGCACCTGCAGTCCACAGACCGGAAGATGCAGACAGAGTCATTGACACATTCAGAAGATACCTGAAGGACTGACCGTATATATATATATATATATATATATATATAGTCACCACCAGAAGCACCAGCCCAAACAAAACAACCGTATCTAAACTTCTAGATGCATGATATAACATGCAGGGTTTAGGGTCTACGGTTTTAGGCATCGTGAGGAGTCAGGAGCAAGCTCTCCATCTCTAGTTTGTCTGTGCAAGGGATCCCTGATCCTTGTTCCCTTGAAAGCGGTTGAAGTTTTGGCTTCATCGTGTGCTGTACAGACAGCGCAAGCAGCGCGAAGGGTTTGTCCCCTGACCTGAGTGATGATATGGCCGCTGCGCAGCCACTTTTTCCTTTTTCATAACAATTCCACCACTCNCCCCTGACCTGAGTGATGATATGGCCGCTGCGCAGCCACTTTTTCCTTTTTCATAACAATTCCACCACTCTACGGTCGCCTTGCTGGGTAGACAGCCCACCAGAGGGATATTGGAATGAAGAAAGCAATCGCGGGGCACGAACCTTCATTTATAAGTGCACGCTAAATTTTACTGTATTTAAGTAAGAGCTTAAACCCTGGTGTATTGAAATGTTCTAAGCAAAACTGGGCTGAAAGATAACTACAGTAAATGACCTTGATAGGAAACCCAGTCTGAATTAGGTTACTACGTCAACGAGTTTCTGCTTGGTCCGCGAAAGTTATTCTCTTGCATAGTTCAGTCAGGTGTATGTTACATAATATATATATATATATATATATATATATATATACTCTCAAGATAAAGGTGCTCAATTAGAACGCAGCTAGTCTTTACTGACCGGTATTTACCGAGCTTGTCGACGTGGTGCGATGAATCTAGTTAGTTTCCGTTGCTCAACTCGGCATAGCCAAGAAGAAGGAATATTGTAGCCCAAAATGAGTTCGCACGGGGAAGGGGAGTGGAATGTTAGCCCGCAAACTTCTACAAACTGCCAGTATAGGACGTGGCTAGGCTTTATTCGGTACCAACTTGACTATCTGTATTATATAGTACGCTGAACTTCCGTACTAAGTGGTAAGTAAAAATCCATCATTCATACATATTGCTATACCTAGGTATTCACTAACTGGGATAGCAGTAAAGCAAACGGCAACTAGAGCTAGAAAACCCCCCTGAATGTTTCGGGTTTAGGGTAGTAGTAGCAGTAGTAGCTTTACCGGAGATCAGAATACCTAACCTAGAGAAAACTAGCACTACATAGTAGGAACGTAGCCACTTCATATGCTAACTATTCTCTCTGCAGGACTAATGCAAGTCGTATCAATTATATAAGGGGCATGGTACAGGTGTAACATCGAAAAAAAGGTAATGAAAATTAATAGCTCGGCGCTTTCAACACCTCAACAGATTGATGAAACCACAGAAACGGCGGTTGTACCAGCTTCTGTGACGGCAAAAATTAAATAGATAAATACCAGGAACACCGGAAATGAGAATAGAATACGAAATCTACAGTGCAATATCTTTCTCTCGTTGCGTATAAGAACGAAATTTAAGCAAGTAGTCTTGAATATGAACATAAAAACGTCCCGCAATCAACGAATCAAATCTCAACCCCCCAGAAGAAATTGCATTTAATTTATATTGCTGTAGTATTATATGATCGTATCCGGCCTGGGAATACTAAGCAGTTGTTGGGTGAGTCGGAACTTGGCTTTCTCGTTTCATGTATAAGTAGGCTAAGCCATATGTAGTAAATACCTGATTATAATTTGCAGCAGTTAGCATACGACAATTCACATATAATTTTTGTGTTTTTAAGGTTAAAACTAAAGTTTAAAAAAGCTAAATAGACACTTAAAAAGTAGATTCAGGTAAAGAACTTACCGTATGAGATCAATACTTCATGAGGTAATTGAGCTTCAATATGCTGTCTCGCGTGCTGGGCCTAAGGTGGAGCTACTCGCTGTCCTGANCATGTTTAAGGATTGAGTAACAAAAACCAGAAGCAGCCGGAGGCAAAACAATCGCTATGCCCCTTGCAACTATCTGTGGGGGCAGCAGTGCCGCAGCAGACCGGGCTGCAGCAGCAGAAGTGTTTGTGTTGCTAAGCTGCCTGTCGAATGGCGCTTAAATGCATACACAAAATGCTGCTATCTTTATCTGCGGGGTTGCAGCAGGCTAGAAAAAACCAACCCCACCTTAGGCGTACTACGTAGGGTACACATTCCGCTTGCGCGCCTTCGTCAGCAGGTCCCGGCACTTTGGCTCGAAACTGCGACATCCATTCCGCAGGCATGCGGAGTTGGCTGCTGCATGCATGTGTGCCGGCTTGGGCGATTCCCCGCCGGCTTGATTGCATTGTTGAACGAATAGAGGCACGGGTAGGGGGCACAGAAGCCGCAGGAGCGGCAGAAAAAACAGTGCGGCCAAGCTTTACTTGCTGCGTTCTCTCTCATCTTCCTGTCTTCTATTTTCGTTGTCTCCACGGGCATCTTTCTGAACCTTGTCCCTCCGCTTGCTAGGTGCTGCTGCCTCCCTCGTTCGCCGTTGCTGCTGGTGTAAAGAGGGTGACTGCGCTGGCTGTGTCTGGGAGGGCTTATCTGCTCCAGTGTCTACGCCCTCATCCGATGTATATACGCATCTATCTTTGCGGCACACCCACGCGGCTGCGACGGTGATATCGTCTTCTTTCCCACCGCTAAGGAGCCCCGCCAAAAACATTGCATGCGCTGGGGATGCCTGCGAGGCCCCCTCCGTGCCTTCGGGTGTCTGTACAGTGAGCGACTGTTTGTTCTGGCAGCGCCGAGCCTCCTTCGAGAACGGCGTCTGCGCATACTTGTCAAGAGACCTCCAGTATGCTGCGAGGGCCAAGGCCCGTGCAACATCTTCTGGGGGAGTTGCTAATGAAGCGTCCTCGAGCAAAGTTTGCGCTTCATGCGGAGATACAGCAAGACCTA